GCCTCCACACTCTGGAACATTCTGTGCCTGCCTCCACCTTCCCAAAGTAGTAACTCTGGTTGATTGCTGAGCAATCATCCATAGTCCGGAACATTCAGTGCCTGCCTCCACTTTCCCAAAGTAGTAATTCAGTCTGCTCGCTGAGCAATCTTTCCCACGTTTGCGCTTTCTAGTTTATTCCGTAGACATGTTGAGCAACCCGCTTGATGGGGATAAATACCCCCTCCAAACAGGTTGTTCCCCACCTATGGATCTTGTGTCAATCCAGTCAGTCCCAGCCTGACATCTTGCAGTCCCCTCAGTCCCCTCAGTCCCTTGTCACCCTCTGTATACTCCTCAAGCTCTACGAGCCAGAGACAAGTATTGGGTTACAGCCCCATTCCAGTCACCTTGCCTACCCTCTGGGGATTAGACCCCGTCCGTGACATCTTGTCAGCGCAGCATCCTTCCGCTCTGCCATGAAAAGCGCAGAAATTTATGGAATCACTACCTCAATTCAAGTCTCAAGTCTCATTGATCCCCATCCAGCTGAGGACAATGATGATGATGACTCTCCCGCAGACATTCAGAAACTCAGGGAAATTATCCCCGCAGACTTCCATTCTCATTTGGAAGTATTTAGTAAATCCAAGTCCGACAAGCTCCCAGAACATGGACCATATGATCATGCCATAACACTTGAAGGCAATGCACAGCCTAAGTTTGGCCCAATCTATAGTCTATCTGAAGTAGAGTTAAAGGCTTTGGATGAATATCTCAAGGAAAACCTCAAGAAAGGATTTATACGACCAAGCTCAAGCCCCGCTGGATCACCCATCCTCTTTGTCAAGAAACCAGATGGAACTCTCCGCCTATGTGTGGACTATCGACAACTCAACAGTATCACTCGCAAAAATCGCTACCCACTCCCGTTAATTCAAGAATCCCTCGATCGACTCAAAGGTGCTTCATGGTTCAGCAAGATTGACTTGCGTGCTGCCTACAATCAAGTCCGCATTGCCAAAGGCGATGAATGGAAGACAGCATTCCGCACCCGTTATGGACACTACGAATATCTTGTGATGCCCTTTGGTCTCACAAATGCCCCCGCCTCTTTCCAGAACCTCATCAATGATGTTCTCAGAGACTTTCTAGATATCTTTGTCGTTGTCTATTTGGATGACATTCTCGTATTCAGTAATACAAAGGAAGAACATATCACCCACGTCAAGAAAGTCTTGGATCGACTCCAACAACATCAACTATGGGCAAAAGCAGAAAAGTGTACCTTCTTCAAACATGAGGTTGATTTCCTAGGCTACCTTGTCTCAGACAAAGGAGTCAGAATGGACCCTCATAAAGTAGAAGCTGTTACAAACTGGCCTCCACCAAAATTAGTTCATGATGTTCAAGTCTTCCTTGGCTTTGCCAACTTCTACCGTCGTTTCATCAAGGCATACTCCAAGGTTACGGCACCCCTCACTCAACTCCTTCGCAAAGAAGTCAGGTTTGATTGGGGTGAATCTCAACAACAAGCATTCAACACTCTGAAAAAATCATTCACCACTGCCCCTATACTTCAACACTTCCAACCAAATAAATCTATTGTTGTGGAGACAGACGCATCTGACTTTGCTATTGCAGGTGTGCTCTCCCATTCAGACAACAATCGACTCAATCCCATTGCTTTCTACTCTCGAAAACTTCAACCTGCAGAACTCAACTATGAAATCTACGACAAAGAGATGCTTGCCATAGTGGAAGCATTCAAACATTGGCGACCATATCTCGAAGGAACTAAGGAAATCACTGTATACACAGACCACAAAAACCTCAAATATTTTACAACATCTAAGGTGCTCAACAGACGACAAGCTCGTTGGGCAGAACTCCTCGCAAACTTCGACTTCAAAATTCACTACCGACCTGGAACAAAGATGGGTAAACCAGATGCCCTGACCAGGAGGTCAGACCTTCAAGGGGGGAGTAGAGCTGCAGATGCACCTCCACACACACTCCTCAAACCAGGACAATTTGTCATTGGCGCCCTCATTCCTCCAGACACTCCCAACGCACCCCCACACTCAGATATTATTGCTAGGATAAAGCAACTTCAGCCTGAGGATCCCATCCTCCAAGAGCTTTTGCCTTACCTGCAATCTCCCGCTACTCCTGTACCCCAAGGACCTCAAGGAAAACTCAAGGATTTTAGAATAAAGGACAACATCATTCATTTCAACAACAAAATCTATGTCCCAAACAACAATGAACTCAGATCGATTTACTTCAACAAACACATAATTCCCCTACCTCAGGACACTATGGTCAACACAAAACATATCAACTCCTCTCGCGTCACTACTATTTCCCTGGCATACAACAATTCACCAACACCTATGTGGATGGTTGTCACACATGTGCACGGAACAAAGTTCCTCGACATAAACCCTATGGACCACTTCAACCATTACCCATTCCCTCTCAGCCATGGCAATCTATTTCAATGGATGCTATTGTTAAACTTCCACTATCCAATAACTTCGACTCTATCATGGTCTTTGTTGATCGCTTCACCAAACAAGCACACTTCATCCCATTCAAGGAAGATGGCTTTGATGCGCCCAATCTAGCTACCATGTTCAGACAAAATATTTGGCGACTTCATGGACTACCCAAGGATATTGTTTCAGATCGCGGATCGATCTTCAACTCTCAGTTTTGGCGCTCTTTTGTCAAAGGCTTAGGGATCACTCCAAACTTCTCTACTGCCTTCCATCCTCAATCAGATGGTCAAACAGAACGTGTCAATCAAGTCTTAGAACATTACCTCAGATCATTCTGTGACTATGATCAAGCCAATTGGTCATCTCTTCTGGATCTTGCAGAGTACAGTTACAACAACTCTGTTCACCCATCAACAAAATTCACTCCTTTCCAAGCAAACGATGGGTATCATCCAAATGATCCCACTTCACCATCACCTTCAACTCTCTCTGTCCCAGCCAGTGTTGTTATATTAAGGGTTAAGATATTAAGGGTTGTAAAATGGGTAGCCAGGGTGGGTTATTAAGGTCTAAGAACGTAATATCATCCCCTACTATGAGTGATGAAGGAATAGGTCACGTGACACAACACACCTCCACCATAGTCCTCTACCTTCACTATACTGCAATCATTCATGTCACTCCTGCCCATTCATGCCATTCTAGAAGCTGCAGTCACTTCAGAAGCTGATGGAATGTGTTGATATAGTGCATGTATAACTCAAAGTAATGCAGGAATGAGTCCCCATAGCCCAGCATGAGGAAAATGATATTACGTTTTTAAGCCCTCTTTTTTGGACCACCAAATTAAGGCTGTAATTACGGGTTATTACGTAACTTAAAAACGACCCTTAATAACAACCTGACAACACTGGTCCCAGCAGCAGGAGAACATCTTCAGACACTACGTCATCTTCATCAAACTCTTGCCAACAACATCAAGTCAGCTCAAGAAAATTATACAAAACACTTCAACAAAAAAGTCAAGGACATCAACATCAAGGATCAACCACTGTTCAAAATTGGTGATCAAGTCTTCCTCAACAGACGTAACATTCAAACACTACGACCCTTGCTCAAACTTGATCAAAGGATGCTAGGTCCCTTCAAGATTATTGAAGCCACATCCTCTCCGCTCGCGTTCAAACTTGAACTACCACCATCAATGAACATACACCCCGTATTCCACGTTAACCTTCTTGAACCCATGCGTAAAGGACATGCTCAACAACCTCAAGACCCTCCACCATGCATCGAAGTAAATGGTCAAGAAGAATATATTGTCAACCATATCCTCGACTCTCGTATTGGTACAGACAATGGCTATGACTACCTTGTCAATTGGAAAGACTACTCCAGTGCCCATGATTCATGGGAACCCTGGGAAAATGTCAACCATACCACAGCTTACAAAACATTCCGTCGACAACACCTCAAGGACCCAAATCATCACTTCCCTTCAACCAAAGCTCATCGACAAAAACATCAAGACAAAACTCAAGACAACATCAACAGATCTCAACGTAGATCAACACGGCTCAGAGGACTTCGCCCTTAGAGAGGGAGCTCCTGTCATACATCACCTACTTGCCACCTAAGATAGTCTTTTCTCGTGTTCCCACACTTGAAACACATCTGGAACACTTCCCCTGACCCCCTTTGGCTTAGGTTTATTGTTCTTGATCTCCATCAACAATCTTTATTGTCATCTCTTACACTCCCACACAAGAAACACCTACCCCTGAACCCCTGTGCCCTTAATCTATTGTTCTCCTGTGTGTTCACATGCTTGACACACTTACCCCTGGACTCCTGTGTCCTCTGTCTATTGTTCCTTGTCGCACACATGAACCTGTAACAGTTACCCCTGGACCCCTGGGTCCTTTGCCTATTGTTCTTAGTTTCACATGTCAGGATTGCCAATTCTCTTGAAGAGAATTGCAAATATGTTTAGCAGTTCTTCCGTAGCTTATTGTTGTAGTTTTGCAGTTCAGCCTGTTTTGCTGTGGATATAAACCCCCTCCAAACAGGTTGTTCCCCACCTATGAATCTCTTGTTGAATCTCATTCTCAACTTGTCAGTCCAGTCAGATCCAGCCTGACATCTTGCAGTTCTCTCAGTGTTCTCTCAGTTCCCTCAGTACTCTCAGTCCCTTGTCACCCTCTGTATACTCCTCAAGCTCTACGAGCCCGAGACAATGATTGGGTTACAGCCCCATCTCAGTCACCTTGCTTACCCTTTGGGGATAAGACCCCGCCCGTGACAAGTTCCAAGTAGCTGCACTATACTGGTGCACTTTGGTTGTTACCTCAGATTCCTTGAAGACTTGAAATAGCCGTTTCCCAGCGTCTTGTGCCCACCACTCTCCATCTACAAAGGCCACTTGGTTAGAATAGTCTTCCTTGAGAAGGTCTTCTACTTGACTGTCGGTCATGTCGCTCACTTTCTTATGAAGATCCCCTCGTTTCTCAGCAATTGATGGCAACACATACTTGCGGTTGCCAGTGTCAAGTGCTCTGATGGCGGTGTTGCACGAGTTTCTCACCAAAGCAAAACCAGGGTGGCAAGAGTACTTGATATCAAATTGCAGCTGCAGAGTTCTCTGGCTTGGTATACGAGTCAGAGTGAACGCAGTATACAACACAATGAGAGTTGGCATGTCGTATTCACCAGGGTTTCCCAAATTGGAACTAAGATCAGATGTCACAGTCGTCTTCACCGCCAGATTCCATTTCTCCGACTCTGTGTTGCCCTCCTGAGTCGATAATGGCGCATCCAGAGGGGACAGTGGTTTGTTCTCTTGTACAGAAGATTGTGAGGCCCGTGGTGAGTCCAATGGTTCGCCCAATGGCGAGGTCTGCGAAGAAGCCTGCAATGACGAGGCCTATGATGGGACCGATCGTTCAGCCGATCGTGCGCCCGGTGGTGAGCGACTTGATCGGGGTTTCAATTTCGCGCGTAGTATGTCGATACTGCTCATGCCCCTAGGGCCTACACCATCTGTAGGTGAATAACAGGGGTCAGACATCTCAGCTTCAAATACGACTGTGTATACGCTCAAATGAGGAAAGATGAGGTGGTTGGCAGGGGAGTATTGGTCATGAGATTGTTTCTTATATAAGCACCACAAGCCTTTCGAAGCTTGACATCTCCATTGATGCTCTTTCAGCCTCTTCTTCTCTTGCTGCCAGGAATGGGTGAAAGTTGTACAGGTCTTCGTTGACGCGTGTGTGTGGGAATTTGTGGACGAGGCGATGCATTGAGACCATGGGAATCGGCTTCGATGTGGCGGAGACGGACAAAGGTGGAAGGGGAAGAGGAGGATGACAGTATTTGAAGGTCGAAGGGCGAGACCGAGGTTCAGACGATTGAAGAGGGAAAGAAGGATTTTCACGATAGTTTAGCTGGACTCGGGCGAATGAACATCGTGTGAAGGTCGAAGTTCAAGCTGTGCTGAGATCGATGAAAGGGTGTGGTCCGCTTCGATCGGTCTTTCGAGTCATGTCGTAAGTCGTCCGGAGACGTCGGAGATAGGAGGGGAGACTATCATGTTCGAGGGTGATCTGGGTGGCGGTGGGGATGATAGGTCGAGCCCGTTCGGGATGAGTAGGTCAATGAGTGTTGAGAATGTCGAATGGAATTGGAACACCTTCCTCAAAGCGTCTCTCTAATCGCTCAGTTACGATCAACGTGGGGGTAGGGAATAACTCACATTCATCTCATCCTTCAATAGATCCTCCAACCGCCTTTTCTCCCTAGTATCTGCTCCTTTTATCCATTCTTCCCAAGCTGCTAACCTCAGTCGATCGAGTGGTAGTCGGTTCATACTTCTCAAAACCCCTTCCATGATTTCTCCTTCACCCGACAACACATTCGAAAGGGTTTCCTCCCCTTTACCAATACGGGTAGATGATACTCCCTCTTCTCTGTTCCCTTCCGGACTTAGACTGTCGCTTGATGGGTTTTCCAAATCCGCAGTTGGTCTCAAACATCTCAGTCTTACCCATTCTCTCCTCCTTACCCAGCCTCCCCAACCCATTGCACCAGCATGACTCCCCCATCCTCTCTGACGGAACCAAGCGTTATATCTCCATCCCAGTTCGTCGGTACCAATACGCATGTTGATCATCCACGGTGTGAGATATTCCCATTCTGGGGATGGTGTCTGGTAGGTTTCAGGAGTGTAAAGAGTTTTGATACTTCTTTGGGTTATAGGTTTGTCTTTGGGTCGAGAACGTTTGGGTTGATCGTGAATCGCTGAGCCGGGTGGTTTGATGGAAAATGAAGATGCTGAGGGTATGGGGTGGGAGGGGACGGTGAATGGGGAAGGATCGATAGGTAAGAGGGTGGAAGAAGAGAAGTAAGCTTTTCCAAGGAAATAGATACTAGTATGTCAGCTGGTGTTTTGATCCTCTGTCACCGTTTCCACGGAACATCTTATTCATCTGTTGTATCCTTCCGTTGAAACAACATCCCCTGAGTGGTCTCCGTCTCGAGGGTCACCTCCTGGACACGTCCCTGATAAATGATCTATCTCACAGGAGTGCGAAGGAAGGCACCGATGAAAGAAAAGCCATGTCGAACAGTCTCACCCTCTTTGATTCTCGAACAGCACTTTGCATTAGTTTCTCACTCGGACACAATGATCCATGGTAGAACTCACCATCCCACACATACTCTTGCTTCCCTTCCGTACCGACTTGCAGATCTTCTACTCTACATTCCTTCCCTTCTCTCATGACCTTGATTCCTACCCCCATCTGCTGACATAACCTAGCCTGTTCTTCCTGCACCTTTCTCAACTCCTCTTCCAGATCCCCCTCATCCTCTTCGTCCACTTTTGACGAAAGATGTATATGTTGTTTCAGTGTTTGTTTGGCGGATCTCGACCAGAATGACAAGGAAGATCGACGACGGCGATTTGCTAGATGAGCAGAAACAGAGGCATTATCTTGCTCCGAGGAGGAAGTATGAGTGGTGGGAGGGGTTCTTGGGGGTGACGAGGGGGAACAAGAAGGACCTGCTTTTGCTGTAGGAGATGGGTCGGACATGGTTTACGTGTGAGAGAAGATCACTGAGAGATCATGTGGAGGTATATTGAGCGAATGCAACCGTTGTCAAGAAGTCAAGAAAAGAGGTCAAATGTGGAAATACTGTGGATGGTGCGAGCAATGGTGAGGTTAAGTAGCTATGACGTAACCTTCCGATCGCAAACTTGCACATCAGACATCTTGGCTCTACATCATGACCCAGATTATTATATCAATAATAGATACATTATGAGGTCTCAGTCTCAGTCCAGGTTCTCACGGGGAGAGCAATCTAAGTCATGACTCTCGGCCTCCTAGGATAGCGAGCAGCATGCAGCGGAAAACCTGACCTCCTCATCATCTCCACAGGTTTCGTCAAACCCTTCTCCCTCCCCCGGGACTCTTGCTATTCCCCAGTTGTTCAGCCCAAACGATCTGATCCGATTTACTTGCGTCCTATTCATTAATCTTCCATTTGATATTCTGGCCATTTCAGAAGAGCATCATGTGATCACATACCTCCAAAGCACTCTTCAAAGCCGTATCACCCCCGGCTCTTTGGATCCGCACTTGATCGACTTTCTTCTTCAACTCTGGTGATAATGACTGTTTCATTAGCTCGTATTCTTCATCTAGGTGGTATGATGACCTGATAGAACTGTTCTTCAGTCGGCGTAGAGTCTATATGTCAGCTTGATACACTTTCATCGATGTTGCGTGGAGTCCGTAGTCGAAACAAAGGGAATAAGATTGGGAGGGGGGAAAGACGTACATCTCATAATGCCCCATCCTCCTGCCATGACTGTATGTCAGCTTCACCAGAATTCGGTCAACATCCCTACAGCGACCAGCGGAGACCAATAATCCACTTTCCACTCTCCACCTGATTACTTGATAGCCGGCAAGATGAGTAAACTTGCCGGCGTGGACAAGGACGTAACACGTAAAAGCCGTGGAGTTGGATCGGCTGACAGATGGTGAAAGACGTACTGGCGGTGGTGACGAGTATGAACCTATTCATCAGCGGCTGGTCCTCAACAGTTCATCCCTCCACTATTCATGTATCCTTGGCTCTATCTCCATCCTTGACAAAAGGAAAGAAACCCACCTTCCCCATAAAAACTGACCTGACATGACATAAACTTGAAATCGATACGCGCAAAACTACCTGTACATCTTTCTTTCTTCCTCTCTACTCGTCTACGTCATACATCCACATCTTTTACGTCCGAATCCTTCCACTACATTCCGGTCTCCATTCTTCACTCTGGTTCTCTGACTGAGTCAGCATATACCTACATATCGATGTGAGAAACAAGGAGACATCATCATGACGCCAAGTTACGAAGTCGTCCCTGGTCATTCTGTTGGATCATTCAAACTTGGTCGGTGTCTTATTCAATATCGTGACTCAATCATCTGGCTGATGTTGAGGTGATACTCTTTGGCATACACTAGATTATCTTCGAGCACAGAAGACGACTTTTCCAAAGATTGAAATTTCTTATGATGCCGATGTGAGTTAACGTCAATCCCCCTCTCCTCTACCTGCCTGATATGATTAATCCCTTCCTTATCTTCCACGACACACATTGTCCTCATCACAGTCCTGTCACTGTGTACCGAAGTTGTCTTTCAACATCCAGAGAATACACGTTTCATACAGAGTCAAGTTAGTCGTTCAAGGGCAACAGAAGAAGATGTACAGATATACAAATTGACGACAGAACGCATCCACAACATCTATAACCCTTCGTCTATCTCCCATAATCCTTTTCTTTCCTCATCCCTCTCAAACACTCGACAGAATCATCATAACCCTTCCTTCCGTTGAACTATCATACGAAACTCGTCTTCTCGCTTCTTCACAGGATCATCTCACCCGTGCCAAAGTAGGTAGGATACTAGGTCCAACATACGCTCCAACGGGGGGAAAGGTATCTTATCCCGGTATAACTTTTGATATCCCCATGTCAAATGGGAGAGATGATTTGGTTAATGCTTTGAGCGTTGTTCCAAAGGAAAAGGATAACGAGAAGAAAGAAGTTTGGGAGGTTTTGATCCTTGTGAGTCTTCACATCATTTCGTCTTCATATTTTCCTCCCCTCCCCGTAATCTGTCCCCTTTTATACACCCCCATTTGATCATGTGACATCATGCCCGATGAGTTCAGCATAATTCTACGATTCAGTAATCAAGTCTTCGGAACGGAGGAATTGTGTACACCGTCAATGTACCATGCGATGGGAAAAGAAGATTGATGAATGTTGAATGTCAAACACAATACTTCTGACAACACTAAAAAACATTAGTGAAGAAAAGATGTAGGATACTGATCGCAGCCTGGAAAAGGAATCACCTTTCATCTAAGTGACACACAAACAGATATCATCATAGGACAAACTACATCCCAAGATCTCCTTTTAGACATCGGTCCACCTCTGAGGGAATTCTGGAAAGAAGACTCTAGAGTGTCTAAAATATGGATCGGTGATGATGCACTTTCGACAGGCTGTAAGTTTTCCTTGATCCATACCATATCTCCTGACGAATCTCTCTTGTTGGAACATATATGAGTGACGGTTGATATTCAGATTTTTGGAATTATTTTCAATATGGATTAGATTTTTTGATAAATGATGAAGGGTTTGTAGAAAAGGTTATTTGTCATTCGAATATAGTAAGTATCTTCCTCTTTTACATTTTCAAGATTTTACTTTTCTATCCTCTCGTCCCAGATTTATCCTTTCCTTCTTCTTTCTTAATGTATGTGTCAAACTCCGATTGCTTTTTCCATATATACATTTCAAACTATTCGCTGCTTTCTTCTCTGTGTATACATCGACTCTCCTTTTTTCTCCCTCTCTTCAATATATCAATTTCTACCTGCCTGCCTTTTCAAGGATGGATACATATTCATTCGTTCTCTTCCGTATGTCTGACCAACGACTAACTTGGCTAGCCCGGAACAGCCCTTTTTCAACGTTACGCACGTTGTCCATGGCGTATACAATCATCTACATCTACAAAACCTCTTGATTTCACTTTCCCCATTTTGGAATTCCAAGAATCCCTCGGTAAACCCTCTTCTTCACAATACGTCTCTCCGAATCATGGACAGGAAGAAGAAGGTATGATATTGGATAGGAGCGTTGAAGGTGGGTTTGAAGGTGTAACGAATTTAGGAATTAGTCGTATGTTTCTTTTATATATCCCTTCTTCTTTTTCTTCTTCTTCCTCCTCCTCCTTCTTGGCTTTCGTGTGGATGATACTTTGAACTGTGAAGTTATACTTTATGCTACTCTCGAAGAAAGATAGGTCAGAAAATGAAAATGAGCTGATTGTTCCAGGTTTGAGAGGTTTTAATGGAGTGATATTGGAAGAAGATGAGATGAGTAAAGGAATATCCTCAGTATTGATTTATCATGTGTGATCTCATTTGTGTGCAAATTTTAACTTGTTGTACATTATACACATGTATAATTATGATGAATATGATTATATGATATCTCCTTTTTGCCACACGATATAATTCAATCGACTTGGATCGCTTTCCCTTCTTCTTACACAAAGCTCACCATTATCCAACCGAGATATCTCCTTCTTCCTTACTGGCCTCATCATCCTTCAGTACAGCCAGCATGTTCAGTACGTACATACACACCATTAATCATAGTCATAGAGCTCAAAAGCTTGTACCTGATATAGAGACCGGAAAGGCATAGGATCTAGGATCAATCCGACTGGGAAAGCGTTCCGATTTCTAGGTCAGTTACCAGTATGACTCGACTCAAACGCGGATGATCATTGGTTATAAATCAATAAGCCATCCACATTTCCGGTGTGAGAACTATTATCAGTCCCTCACATTCATCCCTCAAATATAAAGATCGAACTCACTTTTTCGCATAGCGTACCACATAGAGATAGAAGTCGAAAGTTGCCATTCGTCCTTCAAAGGATTATCCGAAGTGATCATAAGCCCAGAATCAACTTCATCTTCAGTTTGAAGGATTTCAGAAATAGGAATTTCGTTGGATAAAAAGGTAGAATAGACATGAGATCTACATATCAATTCTGTCTTCTCATTATTCTCTCTATGATGAATATGAGGTGCCATCTCTGGTCCTGGATCAAGACCATTTCACTACCCCAGGATAACGTACGGCAAATAGAATAAAATGTCCGGATTTTAAGAAATATGGAGGTTTTTTGATACGACCCAAAGAAGGATTGAGAGAGATGATCGAACTCACCGGAGAGGAGAACGCATGACATCTTCGATAGTAGGTTCACGGAAAGTTAATAAAGGTGATTCGGCCATATAACAAAAAACCATCTTTTCATCAATATTTACTTTACTGATTCCCGTATGAAGAAAAAGTTACGTACCAAGTTAGAAGGTTCGTTTGGTCGAATAGTTTCAGGAGGGATATCGCTAAATGATCTGCATTGGGGGAAACTGGATGAAAATGTGGTAACTACAGCTTTCATTGATTTACTATCGAGTAATCCTACCGAGTTCTATTATTTAGCTCTTTTCTCCCATTATGCTCTCTTTAAGGTGATTGATGACTTGTATGATGTCAAGAAGGATTTGAGCGATATTCTTGACTTATGACGCCAGCGAGCAGTAGATAAGAGCTGGGTAGCATGATAAGGACTGAAATATTCGAGTGAAGGGAGTTGTGACAGTGAGAATAACGGGGGAATGTGTGGTTGTGTAGACTTACCATCACCACAACTCCATCAGGTAACATGATTTCCTTCAAATCTTCCCAAAACTCCTTTGTGAACAAACTTGAAGTCACCACACCTCCTGAGAAACAGTCTTGTATAACATAAGAATATTTCGTTCCGTTCCATTGTCCCTCTCGCGAGAGTGTGGCGAGAGAATGGACGAAGATGGTTCCGTCCATGATGTATTTGGAAGTGGGAGGTGGGAGGTCGAAGTATTTTTCGGCGGCTGTATAGACCAATGGGTCGATTTCTATTTATCAATTCGTCATGTGCTTTGAAAAATCGTTCATAAGCTCTCTTGTATCGAAGCAAATGAAGGACCAAGGCTTGTGAAGATTGGAGGAATCTGATCAACGAAAAGTCACCAACCTACTATGTCGACATTCAAACTACGTTTCACAAAAGTGTTCGCTGCTATGCCCACTCCCAAACCACTGACATCAGCTTCACAAGTTTTTCAAGCACGACCCACATTATCAAAGCTCTATCATTCTCTTCACTTTGGGTAAAACTCTCCAAGTCTAATTCGATGTCCGTTGTCAATTCCAGAGTCCGTGCGAGCCCATCGTCCTGTTTATGTCTATTCGCTAGTAAAGCAACTTCCTGCAATGCAAATGCGGCAAATACGCTGCTTTATCAATATTCCTCTCTCATCTTCCTTCTCTCTACGACGCTCGAGACAGGGAAGGAGTTCGAAAACAAAGGGGGAACTGACGAATCACCAAATTGAGTATTTTCACCGGATTTGTTTGGAGTATGTCTCACCCATCGACCTCCAAGAGTGGAATGATCACATCTTAGAAATCTATATCCCTCTTTTATATTTTCCGCCACTACCACCTGTCCCGTTATACCTCGTTCAGAAGATAGTATACGGAGATTACCTTCGATAGCGACGTAAGGTGGTAGAGGACGGAGGAATTGTGTTCTCAACGCTAAGAGAATGAGAGGGATCCGAAATGCCAATAAAAGTGTACTACCTCGAGATGGGAGGCGCGAGAGTATCGAGTTCAGATTACGTTTTGTGGTGGGAGTCAGACTGCGTCTGGTAGTGATATATCTTTCGAGACGATCCGGGAAGGAAGGTGAGGTGCTCGGCATGAGAAAAAAGGAACATGTGGTTAAGACGATAGAAATGACGAGAATCTCATAAGTCAGTTTCAGTGGTCGTGATTGAGATTACTGACTATTTTCTCAGGATTGAATGATATCAACCAGCGAGATGATAACAGATCTGAAGCCATTCTCTCGGCTAACCAAATATGAACAGCATAAGCTGTTGCTTGCGCTAATAGCTGTAACAGATGACGATGTTGGTCGAATGGCGAGTTTGATGGACGGAGAGGAGAAATATGATCCTTCTTGTCAGGTTCACTCCAAATATTATTAAGAAAATCTCACAAAGCAAAGCAAAGCAAAAGATATACCTCCTCCCATTACTCCCGCTCCGAGGATAAATCGTGATAGAAAACCTCCCCACACTGGACCAAACGTGGTCCCTAAGTTACCTCCTATTCGCCTGCCGAAGATAGATGCGAATTCGGTTGAAGCGGCGATAACACTAAAACATACCCTGGCGGAAATGGCGTATCGGGCGGGTGAATGTAGAGTGAGACGCCAGTACAGCAAAGTTGGGAGGGAAGCTACGAGGATGTACAAGAATTCGCGGTTTAGAGTCAAAGGGAGACTGTTGTATAGTGGAGTTAAGAGTATCTTATTACATGCTACAGTTAAAGAGATGGGTAAGACGAGGAGGATCGAGGCGAGATCTACTGGTCAGTACGGATTAAAGGCGGGGAGAGGATGAGATAACTGACAAAGGGCTGCGAAACGAGCTATGGCAACTTGGTTTGTTAAGGTTGTCTTGGATCTTTTGTTGAGATTTTGTGATTGAGAAGAGCCGAACACTTGGTCTTGGGTAGACAATCCTGGAGATCCACTGGGAGAACGACGTAGGGAGTCAAAAGATTTTTTCTGGTTATCATATTGTTTAAGTCGTTCAGGTCTGCCTGTCGAAGGTC